GGGCAAATGATGCAAACGATTTTAACAGATTAGCACAGCGAATAATGCAGGTGTCAAATTACTCCATAAACGTGTTAGTAACTTCTCTTCGAATACATTCAGTACAATACATTTTTATTGACTGTATTTGACATCGAATGCATACATACGGGATACGATTGAATTATATTTTCACTCACCAAATATCCGACATGAACCGTTTAGAGAACAAGATAATAATTAATAATTAATTTTGAAACAAACTTTATAAATATATTTAATAATAAGCCATGTTCATTACAATATTTGTTAATGCCTTTTTAATAATTTTCCCGAATAATTATTGACGATTTGGGAGAATGATCATGCTTTGTGATTAGTGCTGTTTATATGATATCACATTTTCTCACTCTACTCATCTATAGCTTTCGATAATTTTTAATGTGTTCTTAATTGAGCAAAAATACGAGCCTGAACTATTTGATCTTACTAATCGCTGGAAAAATAATAATTTCATATATAATTCGTGTATATTTAAAAATTGTAACCCCTAGAATAGGGCACAGTCCTTACAGTTCTACCTAAAAACTCTCAGACCATGCTATCAACAAATATATTAATAATAGAGCATTTGGAAAAATTTATACATGATACTGATGCGGCAGTTAGCTTTTCCGTTTGGCATTTTATACTATTTTTAAATACAACTTCAGTTAATTATCATCATTATCAAGGCTCGCACAACGAAGAAAAGGCAATATAAATGCCAGGGATAATACAGTTAGGCTAACTAGTTAGATTTAAGTAAGTTAGATTTTTAGTCAGTACAACTGTATAGACGTGTTTGATAGTTGAAATGTGTAGTACGAGAGAGTACAAAAATACTCTCATCCAGGGATTCGTCAATTTGTTATTGGAACTACTTTTTAAATAAATAATCAAAACGTCAAACTCATTATGTTGCTCATAAAAAAACTTGTGTAATCAAATAAAATTATTGAAAATTATATGAAAATTATATGAAAGAAATTGCCATTTGAAAAAAATTTAAAAACAATATTAAATCGTAGACTGAAGTTAATTAACAACTGCTAATACTATAAATGAAAGAATGGGCATAACGTCGTAATTGTCGGAGTGTATGCCCCAAATGAAGATGCAGATCCAGAAAGTAAAGACGATTTCTACAAAGTGAATGAAATACTTCTTCTTCTTCTTCTTAACATGCCATACACCAAAGTACGTAGGCGACTATCTCATTACTAGAATTCTGTTCTTGGCGGCGTGACACAGCTCACCTGTATTGTGTATTCCTGTCCATTCTTTAATATTCCTTAACCAGGACAATTGTTTGCGGCCGGCTCCTCTCCTACCTTCGATCTTCCCTTGTAGGATTAACTGTGGTATTTCATATTTTGCTCCTCTCAATATGTGCCCAAGGTAACCAATCTTGCGTTTTTTAATTAATTCAAAGAGTTCTCTTTCCACGCCGGCTCTATTAAGGACGTCATCGTTTCGAACTCTATCCACCCAAGGTATGCGCATCATTCTTCTCAATGACCACATTTCAAATGCTTCAAGTTTGTTGATAGATGTTTTTTTCAAAGTCCACGTTTCCATGCCATAAAGCAAGATGTACCTTGTCTTGCCATTTGTATTCGGGTTTTTATCTCGTGTTGTGGATCCGATTGGTCATTGATTGTGGTGCCAAGGTATTGAAAAGTTTTCACGCGATTTATACGATTGTCACCTATGCATAATATCGGGTTTTCTGGAGGGTTTCTGCTAATGACCATATATTTCGTATGCCGTTCACCTTAATGCCTAATTCCGTATCTTCTAATGCTTCCGCAAATATATTTTCAACATATAAATTAAAAAGCATCGGAGAGAGTATGCAGCCTTGGCGGACACCTTTCCGGATTTCAAATTCATCCGTTTGCCATTTTGCATTCAACCTTTGCCATTTGGTTCCAGTATAGATTCTGAATAATTCTGATCTCCTTCTGGTCAATGTTGGCCCTATGTAGTAGTTCCATCATGATATCATGTTTAACATTGTCAAATGCCTTCTCGTAGTCGATGAAGGTGAGGTAGACATCTTTTCGTTGATCTAAGCAGTTTTGTATTAAGGTGTTCAAACATAAAATTGCTTCTCTTGTTCCTAGTCCTCCCTTAAAACCGAATTGTGTTGACCGCTAAGTTCTTCTAGTATCTTATACATTCTTGAGTGTAATATCCTAAGGAAGAGTTTCAACAAGTGACTCATTAAACTGATTAAGCGGTGTTCATTGCATTTTGTGGCATTAGCTGTTTTTGGGATCATCACAAAGGATGACTGCAGCCATTCTCGCGGAATGTAACCAGTATCATAAATTCTATTGAACAGCCTTACCAAGATTTCGATATTCTCCTCGTCTAGTAGTTTTATTGCTTCTATATTGAATGAAATACTCTCTGAAGTTAAATAAAACTGTAAAGCTTTTACAGTAAAGAAGAAAATATCAGAGTCGTAGGAAGATATGGGGAACAAATAATCAATGACAACGGAATGCGACTTTACAGATTTTTGTGAAACAATGTCTCTATAAATTATGAATGGATTTTTTCAACATAGAGACATCCACAAATTTACATGGATACAATCTACTAGGAATCTGCGCTAGATAATCGACTATGTAATCCAACGTCAAACTTCCCAGCTGAAAACAACTGACGTTAGAGTATAGTGTGGATCAGAATGTGGATAAGACCATATCGTTTACTTATGGCCAACGTGATAGTTAACAATCGCAAAAACAATAACACTCAGGTACAAAATATAGAAAATATAGAAAAGGCAAATATAGACAAGAAGTAACATTCCTTAAATATAACCTAGAAAGCTTAAAAGAGGATTCAACGAAATTTCTTTACAAATTACGACTGGTCAAAAAATTACAAAATACGGATCGAGAAATAATATATGCGGAAGAATTATACCAGCAACTTAAAAAATGCATTCATGAAGTTGCACGTGAAGCTTTGGAGTATAAAGATAAACATGAAACAAAAAATCAAGAATGGCGGTCGGAGAATATGCAAACGTTAGTAAACAAGAAAACTACTTATCAGAAATGGATGTCAACGAGAAAGGAAGAAGATTACAAGATATATAAAAAATTAAATCGAGATGTAAAAAGAGTAGTGAAAATGAAAAATGAGATGTGGGATCGAAGATGTGCAGAGGTGGATATGTATATGGGTGGAACAAGAGTTGGGCAAGCGTGGAAGTTGATAAAGTCTCTCCGGAGGGAAGGAAAGGAAAAAATCTAACAGTTACAGTTAATAGATCTGAAACAGTGGAAACACCGTTATGAGGTTTTACTGACAAAGGATAATCCGAGCATACAATAATTGAGATAACAACCGGAGAGTTAAGCGATGCCCTCAAAAGATCGAAAAACGGTAAAGCAGTAGGACCTGGAAACATCCCAATTGAGTTGATTAATTATGCTTAAAAGGTCAAAATATTCCTGATGATTGGAATGTTGGATACATCAGCTCAATATTCAAAAAAAGCGGATAGACGCAAATGCTCTATTCATAGGGGAATAACTGTTATCAGATCAGTGGGGATGTTATACGGTCGAATAATAAAAACGGAATACGAAGACATAGAAGAACAAAATGGATTTCATGCAGGAAGATCGTGCACTGATGGTATATTCGTTCTGCAGCAGGTAATCGAAAAACCGTTTTCATTAACAATCGTTCCGTTTTTATCCTCCCACCTATTGTTTGTAGATTTAGAGAAGGATACGATACCGTACATTTGAAAAAACTGTTTCAAACATTGACATAAGTAGGTCTCAGTAGAGAGTATGTGAATGCTATCGCAAATATATACTAAAATGCAAGAAGTGTCGTCAAAGAACGAAACTTTATATCTGAATCATTTCGAATAACAAAGGGGCTTAAACAAGGATGTTGTCTATCTCCGACCTTATTTAAAATATATATTCATTCATCGCTAGAGCAGTGGAGGAAACAAGTATATGGAATGGGAATAGACATAGACGGTGGTAAATGTCTAACAACTTTATTTTTCGCAGATGATCAAGTAGTCGTAGCGAATGATGAGGAAGACATGGGTTACATATTTAGAAAACTAAAGAAAGAATATGAAAAATGGGACCTCAATATGAATATGTTAAAGACAGAGTATCTTAAAATAGGAGATGATGAAGAAGATCCAAAGTTAGAAATTAGAAACACAAAAACATGCAATGAATATAAATATCTCGGATCTATAATATCTAAAGAAGGCACTACTAAAAGACATCGAAAACAGAACGCAGCAGCAGGGAAAAAGCGGTAAATATTCTAAACTTTTTACTATGGTCTAAAGATATTAGATAAGAAACGAAATTGATAATCTATCGAACCTTGGTAGAGCCTATTATGAGTTATGGGGCAGAAGTTTGGCAGATCACGAAAAAAGCTAGAAAAAGAATAGAAGTAGTAGAGATGTATTTTCTAAGGAGAGCGTGTACTGTATCCAAAAAAGATCATATCAGGAATGAAGATATTAGAAGGAGGACTAATACTGTATATCCCAGTGTAGACAGAGTTGAAACGAGACAACTAGTGTGGTATGGTCACGTGAAGCGAATGAATGAAAATAGATGGCCAAAGAAAGTTTTCAATTACATACTACAACAAAGAAGAAGAGGTGGAAGGCCTTAAGTTGCCTGGGAAGAAAATGTACAGCACATAATGAGAGATAAAGCCATTAAAGAAGACGAATTAATGGACAGAAAACGCTGGCGGTCAAAATGCGAGAAGCGACAGAGGCTGAAGAACCTCGCTTATATATATTAACAATATTCAAAAACAGCGATTTTGTTGTTTATTAATCAATTTTAATTTGACATATCTCATTTTGTGTACCTTTTTATTTAAAGTTGTCTGTTGACGTCAAATCTCTAGCTAGACAAGTTTTTAAGTTATGAGCAAAATAATGAGATTTATGTGTTGATTGTTTATTTAAAAATATTTCCACTTAAAAACTGATGAATTCCTACATGAGAGTCTTTTTGTAATATCTTATTTTCTCAAATCTTATTTTTTACCAACTTGATTGGTCTTGATGGTTAAGAGGAGCTCTGAATTCTAAGCATGTAAATTATTTAAATGAAACTTTAATCTGATTGATACACTTATGTTTCCAATTTAGTAGCAAAAAAATTATTAAAATATATTTACGTTTACTGAACGTTGCATTTTAACAAAAAACGAAATTTCAGTTTTTAGATGAATAAACTAAAATTTTTGGACTACCTGTTTATCAGCAATTATACTAACTACCATGTTGCTTAATTTGGTTGTATAAATTTTTCCTTTTATTTCTGACTTTATTTGAAAACAAAATATGCTGACGGACTCTCAGCATGGCTCAGTCGTTTTGTTCCAATAAAAAAGTATGAGGCGGAGAATAACACTCATTTTTCTAAATTAGTTTAACTATAGTATCACTACTGTTAGCCTCAACTGTAAAGCATGTGGGCATATCCCAAAGGTCGTTCTTTTCTTGGTTTCTTCGATCCTCAAGGAAAACAATTTTTCACCGAATTATCATCAAATCCAAAGTAATACCGAGCCACGCATTTCGAGTTACGAACATATCACTTTTGTACTCTTAGGTAAAACATTATTAGTTGTAGATGCGTGAACCGATACTTTCGTAATGGAAACGATAAATAATTTTAATAACGACTAAGGCTATGTTTTCTTCTTCGACTATGTGGTGGTTATGTGAAATACGGGTCCTATCCTAAGGAAGACTCTTCTCAATATCGACCTCAGTTCGGCTTTTAAGTCAAAACAGACTATTTCACAAAGGAGTGGGTAATACCTTGAAATGTGTACGGCAAACTGAAAATAAAAAGTATATAAGATTAGATATTTTACCAATACATTGTCAATAACAACATTTATTTCCCTAATATATTATAAACTAAAGATTTCTTCTGCTGCCTTCATCGTCTGCATTCCTACAGTTCATCCGATTTTAACATGAGTAGTCGGTACACGCGGTCGGTAGGTGTGGCGATGTCGTCATAGGAGTTACGAGTTTTGTTATTGGTTAGAAATTAAATGTTCACGTTTTTCAATTTTAACAGTGACGAACCGACGTAATGTGTTTCTTAGTTACGTTTCGTATTTTCGTATATTAATAGCATTATATTGAAACTAATATTGTTCTAAAGCTATTTTCTTGTGGCATTTTAAATTAATTACTATTTAACTGGGAATAAGCCACAATTAAAGGTAAAGATACGTTTATTGACGTTTCAATTTCCACTTCGGAAATCGTTCTCTTTCTTTTTTAGGAGAAAGATTTCCGAAGTTCAAATTGAAACGTCAATAAACGTATCTTTACCTTTAATTGTGGCTTATTCCCAGTTAGGTTAGGTTAGGTTGGGTTAAGATAATTAATATTAAGAATACCCTGGACAGAGAAAGTAACAAATGTGGAGGTTTTGCGGAAAGAGAAAGAGCTGATACTTACTGTTAAAAAGCGCAAACTACAATATTTGGGACATGTTATGAGGGGAGATAAATACCAGTTGCTGCAATTGATTATACAGGGAAAGATAATGGGAAAGAGATCTATAGAAAGAAGAAGGCATTCATGGTTGAAAAACTTGAGAGAATGGTACAATTGCACCAATTACCAACTGTTTAGATCTGCAGCATCAAAAATACGCATAGCTTTGATGATAGCCAAACTTCAGAACGAAGACGACACTCGAAGAAGAAGATTCCCAGTTAAATAGTAATTTATATTGAACCTGTGTGGATAAATATTGTTTATAGTGTCAATTTAAACTGTGTGGATAAATTTGTTTATATGTTAATTTAGGCCTAAAACTGTGCTATTGTACCTGTGTGTTCATTATATCTTCGGCTTAATTCTGCAAGTAGGTATGCTTTTGTTTATTTATTTTAATAAATATAAGTTTACTATTTTATTTGGGAATAAAGCCATAATTTAAGTTGAAAATTAAATTTATTTGACGTTTCGATTTCCACTTCGGAAATCAAACATTAATGTTTTGTATTTTGATATAAATTTAATTTCATACTTAAATTGTGGCTTTATTACCAAACAAAAGAGTAAATTACATAAGCCACAAGAAAATTGCTTCAGAACAATACTAATAAATATAAGGAATAAATGTCTTTTTCTTATAGTGTAACATTTTTTTTTATAATTAACATATTAAATTATTTCTAATCTCTTTACTCCTGTGGCTGATATGCTGATGGTCGTGTTTACGATTAGAAAATTTTATTACACTCTACCGACTACCACAAAATATGGAAGAACCGACCAGACGACGGCTTGTTTAATCCTTGGCTAATCCCTTTCCGAATTCTTTTTCATAAATTCGGTAAATATCGTCGGGGCACGTTATAATGTTTTTTTCTACAATAACCTAATCCAAAGGTTTATATTTCATCACGTTCCTAGCTAGAAGTGTACCGTTATGTTCGATGTCGTTGGAATCTTTTTATCTTCTAAGAAATACTACAGGCTGATCTATCATTTTTAAGTGGGAGATATCCCTTGTTTTTTGGTGGAAGTTTGTGAAATTTTTAGAGGAACCAACTCACTTCTCGTGGGGCGATCTTTGAGAACAGACGCTTCGCTCATATTATCGTCTCTGTGTTACCTTTTCTGTGATTTTTTTTTAGTTTACAAAAACACAAAAACAAACATGAAGATTCATAAGAAACCAACGGAAAGAAATGGCAGAATTGAATACAATAACATACATACCAGCAAACGAATGGGAAAAATATCTGACGGAACTGTTTAAAGCAAAGGAAAATAATAATCAACACAATAACGTACCTGAATTAAGACACGAAATAGAAATCAGTTTTTAGGAAGTAGAAATAGCCATAAATTCACTCAAAAATAGAAAATCACCTGGACCAGACGGAATAATCGACGAGCTTCTAAAACACGGAGGAGAAAGTATAACCATAGAGATGACAAAACTTATACAAAAACTAATATTGCACTATAAGATACCAGACGCATGAAGAAACAGCATATTGATACAAATGTTCAAGAAAGGAGATAAAGAAGACCCCAACAATTATAGAGGTATAAATCTACTGAACACGGCATTTAAGCTTACCACGAAAGTCCTAACCAACAAAATCAATAAACTAAAAACTTTATCAGATGAACAACAACGATTTAGATCCGGAAGATCCTGCGTAGACGCCGTATTTGTACTAAGACAAATCACAGAAAAGGCCACCCAGTACAATAAACCAGCATATCTATGTTTTATAGATCTGACAAAGGCTTTCGATCGCATCCAAGTCGAAGACGTCTTTCACCTACTGTATAAAAGAAACATACCAATCAATATTATACAAACCATCGAAAAAATCTACATCCATAATAAAATATAGGCAAAGATAAATGTAAAACTAACACAGTATATACCAGTACAAAGCGGATTCAGACAGGGTAACTCGTTAAGCCCACTTCTCTTTAATATAATAATGGACGAAATAATACAAGCAGTACGTAAAGGTCATGGCTACAGAATGGGGAACAAAGAAATCCAAATATTATCTTATGTAGACGACGCCGCATTATTCGCCGAGACAGAAGACGAGCTCCAAAGATTAACACATATCTTCAATACAACAGCTAAGAAATACAATATGATAATATCAGCAGAAAAAAAAACAAATGTATGACAACATCTAAATACCCACTACGGTGTAAAATCGAAATTAATGGGAAAATAATAAAGTAGGCAGCAAGGTTTAGATATCTGGGAATAGATATAACTAGTTACGGAGATGTTGAAGAAGAAGTACGACAACAAAGCTTAAAAGCAAGTAAAGCGGCGGGATCTCTTAATGACACAATCTAGAAGAACAAACACCTAAGACAAGACACAAAAACAAGAATCTATAAAGCAGCAATTAGACCTATATTAACATACACGGCGGAGACAAGACTTGACACATCTAAAACGAGAAGGCTACTAGAAACAACAGAAATGAAAATACTCCGACGAATATCAAGGAAAAGTTTATTGGATAGGGAGAGAAGCGAAAACATAAGAAGAGCATGCAATATAGAAGACATAAATGGATGGGTGACAAAACGACAACAGGAGTGGAACGAACACATCAGTAGAATGACAGAGGATAGAATAGTGCGAATAGCACAAGGTGTAAGTCACCAAATGGACGAAGAAGTTTTGGCAGACCAAGAAAAAGATGGTGCGACAATTTAAACAATTTAGGAGGCTAATATTGAAGAACAAACAGGCTTTAAAGTTTACATACAAGAAGGAAGAAGAAGCGAAGCGTTTTTAATAGCGCCTGTCTTCAATGCGCTTCCGACGGGAAGAATATAGAGATGGACTACTCCAGATTATTCTATTACATACTAACTTGTAAATATATAGGCTGCGCTGACATTAGGTTAGTTAAGCTGATAAGATATTATCGTGATGTAAACTTATAAATAAATATATCTACATAAATTAGAACCGCTCGTTTTATTGAAACACGCTACAATACTTACCCTATTATCAGGCATCTTCAATAATCTAGTCATGACTAGCAATAGAAGAGAAGTCCACGCTTCCCTGTGGTTTTCACTCTGCAGCCTCAAAAAGTATTCTAAAGCTTCTTGGCACACTGTTATAAGTTTCGTTTCGATGATAGACCAGTGTTCCTGTCTATCTTCGTCGCAGTACATCTTGAAAAGTATCCTCATTAAACAAGCAAGACTCTGGGTTTCTTGCTTGAGAAGATTGGGTTTCGCAGAACCTTTATATCCAGCTTTCCACAGGAGATTTCTTTGATCATGATTGATATTAAATGCTTTGGCAAACCTTAACATACAAAATATATTAATACAAATAATAATCTACAAAAAACATGTAGCTAAGATTAAAAATAGTTAATAGCACTTAGTCTTCGACCGTGGTTGTGTTCAATTGTATTGTTTTGTTATCACGGCCAGCTTACTCAATTGTATTTGTTTATTATTGTTATTGTTTTAATGTGTTGTGAATAAGATTAAACTGGTTGTAATTTTATACCAGATTTGTTTAGTCAGACTTTTGCTTTTTGTCTACTATCACCAACCCATTTAAATATTGCAAATTTAACCTTCGACCATGACCTACATTTGCGAGGACTGCTTTACAGAATTCGCTGAAACTGACAAATATAATAAATTACGTTACAGTGGGGATTGTTGCAGAAATTTTTATATGAAATGCTCTGGGCGTAGTAAAACGACCACAAAAGCCCTAATGGACCAAAAATTTTTTCCCATCTAAGATTTTTTTGTATATTATGTGACTCGCCAAGCTTAAAATGAAATGAAAAAATATTCAATTTATTAAAAAATCGTATACCTTTAGAGAATTTTGAAGCCGTAATTCAAGTAACTAAAAATCATTAAGTCATACGATATATTGACCAAAAATGAGAGCAAACTGGACTATCTTACAACAAAAATTGACGAGATCAATTAAATAAATAACCTGATAAATCCTGACAATGTTTTAAAATCTCTAAGGCAGATGGAACAAGATATTTTCAATATATGTCGCCAGTTAAAATTAAATTAAAATTACAGAACACAAATGCCATTATGGCATTATAAAAGAGAATCTAACAATTAGTGAACAATAGGAAATGTGTAAAAAGTATACTAAAGACGCAGCAAATAACATTCTAGGGCCGCAGAGATCACCACCACACAATGAGTGGTTCGATGCTGAGTGCGAGAACATTACAAGAAGAAAGAACAATGCATATAAACTGATGTAACAAAGAAGAACCCGAGAAAAAGAACAAAAATATAAAGATCCCAGAAGAAAGAGAAGTACATCCATCGGAGATAAAAGCGAACTTATGAAAATAGAATATTGGAAGAACTTGAGGCATTAAAAAAGGAAAATCAAACAGGAAAATTCTATAAAAATCTAAATAATGCAAGAAAAGAATTTAAACCAAGGATCGGACTATGTAAGGATAAGGAGGGGCATATACTCAATACAAAAGAAGAAGTATTGAAAAGGTGGGTGGAACAGTATAAAGAACTACTTACTATCGAAGTAGAAGATCCAAATCAACCACCCCCAGGAGCAATCAACAATACAACATTGGAGCCTCCATAAATTTAAGAAGTACGGGATGCAATAAAACACCCAAAAAATAATAGATCTCCAGGAAGTGATGGTATAACCGCGGAACTTATTAAATGTGGAGGTGCTACTCTGACTAGTCATATATATAAAATCATACTGAGAGTGGAATGAGGAACAAATCCCGGAAGAGTAGTGTATTGGGATAGTTTGCTCGCTACACAAAAAGGGTGATCAATTGGAATGTAGAAACTATAGGGGAATAACCCTCCTTAATACAGCATACAAAATATTTTCGAGTATTTTATATGGTCCCCTGAGTGCATATTCGGAGGAGCTTCTTGGCGAATATCAAAGTGGTTTTAGGCCTGGTCGATCAACAACGGACCAGATCTTTATGCTAAGGCAAATACTGGAAAAAACCAATGAATTCAATATCGACACATACCATATTTTCGTAGATTTTAAATCGACCTATGATAGTGTCCTAAGAAATAAATTGTATGAAACCATGGATGAATTCCACATCCCCGATAAACTGATAAGATTGGTTAAGGCTACAATACGTAAAGTTGTTTGCAAAGTTTACAAAACCCTTATACAACCAGTGTTGGTATATGGATCGGAGACATGGACCATTTCCAAGGCAGATGAAAACCTCCTGCTTATATTTGAACGAAGAATCCTGAGAAGAATATTCGGTGGCATCTGTGAAAATGGTGTTTGGAGAAGGAGGTACAACTACGAGATATATCACAGACGTAAACATATATTTGGTGGTAAAGACGTAGTATCTCTTATAAAAATAGGAAGACTAAGATGGGCAGGATATCTGGCAAGATCACAGCTGAACAACCCTCCTAGAAGAATCCTTATGTCTCAACCTGTGGGAAGTAGAAGTAGGGGTAGGCCAAAACTCAGATGGGGGGATGGTGTAGATGAGGATAGAACTGACTGGCGTAATAGACTTGGAAAGGTCGAGGCTCTTTTATAGGGTTGTAGCACCAATGATGATGAAATGCCATTATGTAGTTATTACCAACTGAACCCCAATTTACACTCATATACAAGTTGTTCACTTTATTACACAGAAGGTGGGTATCAAGGAATATGTTAGATGTTATGCCCTCTTTCAAGATGCCGATACAGCGAGTAGTTCCTCATTCAAAATAGCTAATAAAGCATAAAATCTAAAAAATCCTTTGACTTATGATTAGGTCTCGGTTAATAAGGAAATTTGACCAACTGGTGTAAAAATTAAATGATCTATAGAATCTTCATACTCCGAACCAACGCCTTCATCTGTGTCAAATATGAGTCCGAAGAACATCAGAAGACTCGTTAGCTTGAAAAATCCAATTATCATTTTAAGCCACAACAAAAATAAAGTGGAAAACATAAAAATAGTCGCAGACAAGAATGACATCAAAATTTGCAATTCTAAGAATGCATTCCATTCTCATATTAACTTCATTAAGAAGAATACTTTGGGACCATCGATAAATCTGGATCCTTTGACCCCACCAAGAGTTAGATTAACCAATAACTCGAACAGTCGATATCTTCTAGCAAGATTAAGGGAACCTGATATCTTGAAAGCCATTAAGCTACATCTTGCTTTTCTACACGATTAACCTGCTTCAGTATGTCAATTAAACTCTTTTTTGGCTTCCGAAGGACTTTCCATTAAGACCGAAGATCTACGAAAAATCCTTCTAGAATTTAACGATGTCTATGAAATTGGTCCAACCGAGGTGGAAGCTTATCTTGCTGCTTGTAGCTCCTTTCTTACTTCGGAAAGAATTATTCACCTGCAAAAATCAAGTGAAAGTCACCGAAACTACTATTCTGTTGCCTCCCTAAATCGAAATTTATAAATAATAAGATGTATTCTGTGGGACTAGAAACCTCAAATTATTTTAGTGATGACAACTTTAGCATGGTTCTGATTAATATTCGTTCTATGAGATAAAACAGATTAATTATTTTCGTTTCTAGAGGAATTAGGGTTTCCCCCGAAAGTTGCAGTTACCGAGCACTGACTTGCAGTCAACGAGCCTTTTTTTGTAGAAAAATATACCACTATTGCTAGGTATGACCGTCCAAGTTCAGCTCATGGCGGCACCCTAATTCTTTCTACAAATAATGTTGTCTCTCCTATAACAAAATATGACTTTCTGTTCAATGTGTTCTTTTTTTGAGTTTTTATTGGTTTCTAACAAGAATTTTAATCTATACATTATTTTCATCTATAGACCACCTGATTCTTCCACGGTACTACTTTTTCAGAACCTGCTAAATTTGTTAGACGACCTGCCCAATAAAAGCAGAAAAATTTTATGCAGTGACTTGAATATTAATTACGTTACTGCTTTTGCTACCCAATTAAACTTGTTCAATATATTCGAATTGTATGGTTCACAATGCACGTTAATTCTCATACAAGAATTAGTAAAACAACATCTACCATAATTGATTACATTGTCTCAGGTTTCTTACCCCTTGATGTGCGCTCTACAATTATTAATGCAGGACTATCTGATCATGAAGTAGTATATACCAAGTTTACACTCTTAACAAACCATCCTAAAAAACCCAACGTTTAGGTAGGATTTTTTCCGCTAAGACCGTTCGTAAATTCCAAAATTTGTGCTTATTTCTGGGTGACACTTTCACTCTGTGGACGTGGACTATAATTTCAGTGATTTTTTAGATAGGCTTGTTTGCATTTTAATAAGGCATTTCCTCTAATTTCTGCACTACATGAGGTCTATCTATCAAGCACTAAACAATAATCTTTACACTGCCACTGTTTTTTGTGACTATGCCAAAGCTTGTATTAATCACGACATTTTGATAAAAAAACTAAATTTCTATGGAATTCGATGTATTTCTTTGAATTGGTTCCAATATTACTTAAGGAATACGAAACAACTAGCTAGAGCAAATGACACTGACTCTAGCCACAAAAGAATTGTATGTGGAGTACCACAAGGTTCAGTATTGTGTTCTCTACTTTTCCTTATCTTTATAAATGACATCACTACCTTAAAAATAGATGGAAATTTTTTTTTGCCGATCATATCAGTGTGACCTAGAAGAACTCTAATATTGCAACTCTTCATGCAAGTATAACTTCTGATATACTTAAAATAAAAACCTGGTTCACTCTAATTTACTCTCTTTTATCTTTCTCATTCTCATTTCAATTTCTCATTATCATTTCTATCTTTCTTATCATTTTATTTGGTATATTACTTCTCTTGTAAGGCTTGAATCATTTTACTTCTGTTTAGTTTGTCAAACTTCTGTTTAAAGCGTAGGAAACATAATACATGTGTTTCTATGTCGTACTCGTATGTGTTCTCTATCACTTAATTTAGCGTAAGTATAGTGTCGATTGTGAATCTTCCCTTTCTAAAACCGTACTGGTAATCTCCTATGCTTTGTTTTGTATATATTGTTAGTATGTCTCTAATTACAGTGACAGACTAACAAGGTCTAAATGACTAACCAGTCATTACTTTATACAAACTTTGATCAAATAAAAGGCAAATATCGAGCACAGTTTAATTAATTTAATGTTTTCCAAGTACTTTCGCTCCCTAGATAATCTTCAGGGGCATCTGAAATGAGCTAAGAAACGTTTTTTTAACTAAAGAAATTAATTAACTTCGATAAAAACTCGAAGTTTATGGTTGATAAAAGTTTTTATGTGATTAACGTTTATAGAC